TTTCCGACTCATAGCAACCCCACGCACAGCAGAATGAAACACTGCCTGATCCCGCGCCAGCTCCATGATCCCTGCTATACTTGAGCCCATCATCGCAGCCACTGTGTCAATCCATCTCATTGAAGGCCTTCACCTCTTTCGTCGACTCTCTGCCTTACCAAGCATGACATCCTTTTCCAGGCAATGGTCCCTTCTGACAACATGACCAAAGTAGGTGACACGAAGTCTGGCCATTCTCGCTTCCAAGGAACATTTCGGGTGCACTTCCTCCAGGACAGATCTGTTAGTTCTGTTAGCAGTCCATGGTACTTTCAGCATTCTTCGCCAGCACCACAACTCAAAAGCATCAACTCTTCTTTGGTCTTCCTTATTCACTGTCCAGCTCTCACATACATACAAGGTGATTGGAAATATCATGGCTTGTGTTAGACGCACCTTAGTCCTCAAGGAGACATCCTTACTCCTCAGCACTTGAAACAGTTCCTTCGCGGATGACTTTCCCAGTGCTACACGTTGTCTAATGTCCTGACTGCTGCTTCCATTGGCATCTATTGTAGAACCAAGCAACATGAATTCTTTGACAACCTCAATCTTCTCTCCATTTGTTGTGATGTTACTCATTGGTCCAGTTGTGAGGATCCTTCTAACATAAGAATAATAAAATATGTATCTATTCTAGCTTGCTATGAATGTGAAATTAAATAATGTATGTAATAAGTTCAGCAAAGTTTCTGGCACATAGTGAGGGTTCTTAGTTTCTTTTTAGGTTTTCACAAGCAATACAATACCTTTATATTTTGTATAATGAGGCCAAAAAAAAAAAGCTCAACCACTCATTTCTCCCTAGTCTTTAATGTCACATAGAAGTATAAACAATTTCCCATAAAATGCACTTCATACCCTAGTCAAGGGATGTATGAGTCCAAGTATTTAGCCTAAGGGAGGGCTAAAGGAAAAAAAAAAAAAAAAAAAAACCAAACTCACTACCATTGAGTAGATTCTGACTCATAGCGACCCCCCAACTGGGTTTCCGAGGTAGTAAATCTTTATGGAAGTAGATTGCCCCATCTTTCTTCCACAGAGTGGCTGCTGGGTTTGAACTGCCAAACTTCTGGTTAGCAGTCAACTGCCTTAGGCACTGAGTTAAAATCTCATACCCTAAGAAACAACAATTTCAGAGAAGCCATGAGAACCTGAGATAATTTTAAAAGTTTATATATATCTCAACTATAATATGGTCATATAAAAACATTCATCACAAAAATAATCTACACATACAAAAAGTCCATTTTTTGTCCCTTTTATATACTATTATAGACAAAATGATGAAATCCAGAAAGTAACAGGAATCCACCAGTTTTAAAGTTTGGGTAATTCTATAAAAGAAACAGAACCAATCATCTAAACCTTTTCTAAAATTTCACACAATGAAGCTTACTGCACTGTACTCTCACAATTAAATACATCTCTGCTCAACTCAGATGAAATAATTATTATCAATGATCGAAAGTTCAGATAGAAAAAAAAAAGTACAGAAAAGGATTTATAAGTGAAAACATTTAATACAAAAGAAATGGTTAAAACAAAACCCATACAATATTCAAGAAATGTACTGAATTTTAAAACTTCTGAAATAGACATATTTTGGACCTTTATATAAAATACCACAAAGTTCAGAATTGTTGAAAACAAAAGCTTATGCAGAACAAAATCCGAGGGGTGAAAAATAAACTATCAAATGTTTTAAAACCACCTAAAGCCAAATAAGACAAAACTGAACTATACAATTTGGACACAGGTTTAAGTGCATTTTCTTTGACAACTCAATTGCCTACCATATGTAAAAATTGGCAATTAATTAAAATGCAATTAAATACAGATTTGCAAGCCATTTGACCATTACATAAATGATAAGAAGTTAAAAAGTGAACTGTCAGTTGAAAAATAAAAGCTTATATACAACGAAGCTCAAATGGTAAAGGAGGCATTAAACAGGAAGAGCGTTTGGCGGTACAATCGTAACAAAGGTCTTTTAGGCACTCGCATTCAGAACATTCCTTCCATAAATAAGCACTTAGTTCTACTTCAAACAATAAAGCTGATTTTCCCCAACTGCACCTTTAATTGAGCCCTACACTATATATTAGGGATGCATTTAAATGGACCTTTTATGGAGAAAATCAACTGACCTTTTTAAAAATATGAGTCTACCTATTTTATTCACAACTTCAAAAACACAGAATTTAAAGACAATTCCAGTGAAGCACAAATGTGGCTCTATCAAAACATTCTACCATTCAGTATAACCAATACAGGAGAACAAAAAATACAATGACAAAAAAAAAAATCTACAGTTTGGTAATCCTATATAAAAGTGGCCCCATCAAACATACTTCCAAAAAACAAATATAATACCACAAAACAATGAAAAAAAGAAAACTCTATACAAATTGTGGGATTTCATCTTCGAGTTCTTCAAACTGTTGCATTCGTTTTAGCCGTGGTCTCTGACACATGGGGTTCACATCAGGCAGGTCGGGCTGCTCGGAGTTCTCGTTAGGCTTGCCAACAGGCTGCCCAGGACAAGCTGCTATGCTTTCTGAGTCTGGAAGTGATTTCAACACGTGACCCTGGGGAGCATGCGTTGTGCCAGGAAGCACTGCTGCAGAGGACTTGGCAGGTCTCTCTTCATTCCCCTTTACACTGCTACCGGGAGTCCACGGTTTATAAAATGTTGTCCAGTGTTGGGGCTGCAGTGTTCTATGTGCTCTGACAGAAACAACAGGATTGGAATCTGAGGACCGTCTTTCCAGCACTTCTCTTGCTGACCGGACTGGCTCTGTGTATGGCTTACTGGGCTGGGTGGCACTGACCAAATGGTCCCCACTAGTCCTCAGGTTTGTTGTCACTCCTTTTTCCTGCAGTGCACTGGGTACAATCCTTACAGTCTTTGTGGTCAGGTCATTTTGTTCATACTGTTTGTCCCAAGTTTTTTGTAGAGTCTGCTGGTCACTGCCATCAAGTTTGGAACACACAGTAGTAGGGGTCTCTTTTTTATTAACTCCTTCCATGGCAGGATTCTTGCAAAAACGGTCTGAATTTACATTTCCCATGTATCTGCCATTTCTCTCGTTAGGAAGGTTTGCAAGAAGGAGTCTGTCTACAGGCAAACTTATAGGTCTAACCATTACCTTGGTCCTTCGAGTATGCCTCTCACCACAGCTTGCTTCCCTATCAGATTTCAGAGCAAGTGGCTTAGGGGATTTACACACATCTTCCACTTTCTGGGATGCTATTTCAAACTCTTGGTCTAGTATCAAATTCACTTTGTCATCTGAAAAAGGAAAAGATCTAGTTAAAAGCCAAACTTTATGGCACGTAGTGAATAAGAAGTTTGACTGAGTTATAAGTGGGTACCCTTACAAAATAACAAAGGTCTCACCTATTTCTTTCAATAAAATGTTCTCAGTTATCTATGCAGAAGATGAGATATTAAAGGTACCCTTTGAATAAAAATGTTAGAAGTTTGTATTTATTGTAAACCACTACAATGAACAGCTATAAAATATATTGTAGGTTAGTAAAAATACACACAAAAACCAATAAACACCCATAAAGTAACTTCTTTTTATGTGCCATGCATGAACAAGTATTTGCTAGGTGAAGGGACAGTCAGGATTTCAGTAAGTAGGCACTGGTAAATTAACCTCAGAGAAGTTATAGCAATTTGCACACCAACAGTATGTCGGTGTGCCCTGAATCCCAAGGATTTTGCTGGCTCACTTTATCTGACTTTCAGTTACCCTCAACCCAGTGATAGCCTACTATATTAAATGCCTTAATGTCCTTCAGAGTGGATCAATATATGGTATATAACATCTAATCTATCAAATGAAGGTTGAAGGTTTAAGTAAAAACTCGTAACTTCAAACACATGTTATTCTCTTCATTTATTTGTTTGCTCTCAGATTTACCATGTGTCATTGCCATGTCGGAGTCAACTTGACAGTAACCAACAACAAGAACATTCTAATATAGTTGGGAGCCATGGTCCATGTTTTCTCAAGCTAGAAACTTCAGCTCCTTCAAACCTTGTCCCTTTTTGCTGCATCTCCTCCTAAAATTTCCTCTTCCTAGAAAATTCCAACCCTCTGCTCATTCTCCTTTTTGCTGCAAAAACATAAAAAAATTCTATGCCTTGGCACTATGATGGCTTTAATCTTCAGCTGCCCCGTGCGCAGCTATGCAATCCGTTTCCCTGTCATCAGTCCTTTCCCACAGCTCATGGGCAGTGGTTTGCGCTCAGGGTGCCTATCAGAGTCACTTTTCAATCATCTCATGTGCCCCCCTGCACTACCTGACACTGCTGACCTCTCTTCTCTGAGCTTCCAACAGGTCCTTCCCACATTTATGGAGCACTGTAAGGGATCTGACTCATTGCAGTTGGGCTATATTCCAATGAGAAGTTCTGAGGGGAAAATTTATAGTAAAATGGACATGTGTGTAGATTAAGTAGCTCAGTTTCCTGAGTTCAAACCTGAACTCTATCGCTTTTGCATTGGCGAAGCCACTACACTGTCTCTAAGTGTTTTCATCTGTCCAAACAATACAAAATTCTCCTTGTAACTGTTACCTATGCTGTTGTGTGGCCTACATGATCTAACAATGAAAGAATTTAAATAAGCACTCAGCAAATAACTTTATTATTATTTATTATTCCTAATTAGGAACCTCACTTTATAGGTCAGTGAAATAAGCACAGGTTTGGGACTCAGACAGGTCTGGGTTTAAATCCTAACTGGACTATTAGGGCATGGCCTTGGGCATTACTGAACTTCTCTTAGATTGTTAGGCCATGGGCTGAGTGGGTTTAATATTCCCTACTTTATAGCAGAGAACTATTATGAAGATTAAACTAGATCAATGGAATGAAATGATAAGTACTGAGCAGGCTCCTAGTGAGTGTTAACACTCTTCTTTTTAAGATGTTGTTAGGCTATGACAATTGATACTCAATTCCACATCGAATATGGTTGTATTCTGAATAACTGGAATTTAGCTCTAGTAACATATAGACCTCTTTCAAGTGCTGAAGAGCAAAGATGTCTCCTTGAAGACTAAGATGTGCTTAACCCAAGCCATAGTATTTTCAATCACCTCATATACATGTGAGTGCTAGACAAAACGAATAAGGAAGACTGAAAAAGAGTTGGTATTTTTGAGTTGTGGTGTTGGCAAAGAATGCTGTAAGTACCATGTACTGCTAAAAGAACTAACAAATCTGTCTTGGAAGAAGTGTAGCCAGAATGTTCCTTGGAGGCAAGAATGGCCAGACTTCGTCTCACCTACTTTAGTCATGTTGTTAGAAGAGACCATTCTCTGGAGAAGGATGTCATGCTTGGTAAAGAGGAGGGTCAACAAAAAAGGGGAAGGCCCTCAATGAGGTAGACTGAACAGTGGCTGCAGCGATGGGCTCAGGTATAGTAGGGATCACGAGGCTGGCACAGGACCAGGCAGTGTTTCCTTCTGTTGTACATAAGGTCGCTATGAGTCAAAGACAACTCGATGGAACATAACAACAACAATGTATAGAATTAAGGCACTCTGCTGGTGTAGTGGTTAAGGCATTGGGCTGCTAACCAAAAGACTGGTGTTTAGAACCTACCAGCTATTCCACGGAAGATGAGAGAGTTTGCTTCTGTAAAAATTTACAGCCTTAGAAACCCAATGGGGGTCACTATGAGTTGGAATCAACTCAAAGGCAGTGAGTTAAGTTGAATGTATAGAATTAGAAGTCCTAGTGGTGCAGTGGTTAAAGCACTCAGCTGAGCAAAAGGTCAGTGGTTCAAATCTAATGGCCACTCTGTGGGAGAAAGATGCTACAGTCTGCTCCTGAGAAGATTTACAGCCTTGGAAACCCTACAAGGCAGTTCTACTCTGTTCTAAAGGGTCACTATGAATTGGAACTGACTCAACAGTGGTGGGTTTTTGAGTTCGGAATGTATAGAATCACAGTAACAAACGGAACTTTTTCACCAGCTTGATTGGACCAACCCCTGCAAATAAATCAGCATACAGAGAAAAACACAATAAACCAGCTGCAGTGAGAGAATAAAAAAGACATATACACATGTGTACTTAATGTGTTCAAGGCAGGCCACATTAAGAGAAATAAAAAAGACATACACACATGTGTGCTTAATGCTTTTCAAGGCAGGAAAAAACATTTGGAAAAAAGCATTCATGAATTTTAGGAATTTGACTGCTAACCATGAGGCTGGTAGTTCAAACCCACCAGCCACTCCTTGGAAGGAAGATTGGGCAACCTGCTTCCATACAGATACTGCCTCAGAAACCCAAGAAGGGGTCTCTGTGAGTCGAACTGACTTGATGGCAGTGAGTTTTTTGTTTTTTTTTTTAAGTTTGATTCCTTAAGGAGCAGTTACATTAATATCTGAAAAGCAGATGCCAATTACTACATTGCTCAACACACTCTGCCCCAACTTCTATTTATGGCAAAATGCAAAAAACATAAAAAAACAGTTTTACAGAAGGAGCACCAAAAATTCCTTTGAATTCCAATATGTTTTTATAAGAAAGATCATAATGAAGAATGGCATTCATTTAAAGCACACATTAAAAGACATATTTCTTAATTGCTGCCACAGATCCATTTACTAATGAAGCTTCCTGCTCTGACTTCACTCAACTCCACTCACCTTGGATTTTTAATCACGCTTTATTGGAACAGTTTTAAATCAACAAACATGTTTTTTACATGGCCACTCACCAGTGCATTTTTCTAATGCATTCTGCTTGTGTTCTGAGTCCTCAAATGATGTAACTGGTTCCAAAACTTTGCTTTCACTATCTGCAGTCTGTATATCCTGTTGATGAAAGAAAATATTTAAACTTGAAGAAGCAAACATACATCTCAAAATACAAAGTTCAAAGCTTTTTAACTTATTAATGTAAACATCACAAACTTCCAACACAATTCCGTCAAGGTCAGAACTCACTTCCTTTGATGAAAAAAACAGTGACTTCATGGGATGTTCTGGGTCTCTTTCTTCTGGTGATAACAGAGGCTTTGGAAGACAGCCTTGATCAATGTGAGGTGCAACCACACCTGTACTGCCCACAACAATATCCTGTGGCTGTAGGGACCCATCAAAGATCTTCTGTGAGTAAGTAATGAGGAACTCTACCAATCGTGCTTGATGTGAATATTCAGTAAGGGAGGAGATGGTGACAGGAGCAGCTGTTGGCCTTGGCCTAATGAGACATGGCCCAAATATCAAACCCAAATTTTTGGCATTCATCTTGTTTTCTTCTGCATGATCTACTACCCTGCAAAATAAAACATACAAAGCAATATGAGGTTTGCCTATCAGACCTCCTTGATGGTAGCAGTTTACTTATATCAGTATATGGCACATCCTACTAGGTCTGTGAAGTTCCATGGTGCAGTTCCTAAGACATTTGACTGAGAATCAGAAGGTTGGTGGTTCAAACCCACCAGCCACTCCACGGAATGAAGATGGGACAATCTACTCCTGTAAAGATTTACTGTCTCAGAAACCCAATAAGGGTCGCTATGAGTCAGAATCCACTTGATGGGAGTGGGTTTTTTTTTTTTTTACTAGGTCCTTATCCTAGAAACAGTACACAAGTAGTCTTCAAGTCTAATCGATTCTCCCTCCTAAATCTCTCCGTTCTTTTGCCATTGCCACCCCCCATTCTAGCCTTACTTCAGGATCCCATTACCTTTCACTCTTATGACTATATTCAGGGGGATGTGAATTGCAGTAAAGACCTCCCCTCCAGCCCACCCTCCATATTGCTACCAGAAGGATCTAACAAGCCACTCTGAGTATGTTGACTTCTGGCTCAAAATTCTTCAGTGGGTACAGAAGAGGAAGAGGGTCACCTCTTCTGCCATATATATCATCTGCCAGGTATGATTTTCTTATTTCTTTACTAGGCCTCTACCTAGCTCATTGTTAGGTAGTTTCTGCTATTGCTTGCTATATTCTAGTCTCATCAAAGTCTTACCAAATAATTTGTAGTCCTCAAAATGCTCTCTTATGTCTCTGTGACCATTACTCTTTGTGCTCTTCTGCACACTCTTTGTCCACCAAACAACTACAAGCAGTTCCTGGATTATGAAGGAGTTCTATTCCTAAGTCTGTCTTTACGTTGAATTTGTATGTTAAGTCAGAACAGTTAGGTATGGTTCATAGCTAATGTCACTCAAATGTTTGTCATGGTATATAGTACATTTCTATGCATAAACAACATTAAAGGAACACTTCCAGATATGCTAAAACATCTGTAACATAATAATATAGTAGTAGTAATAATATTTTGATGCTTGTCACTAAGTAGCACCTATTTATTATTACAAACCACTGTATGTACCTTGAATTTTTAATACAATAAGCTTTGTGGGGGTTGGGCTATAACTGGGAGTTGGCTGTTTAAGTTGGAAAGAACCGTCTGTACTCAATTCTTCAAGTCTAGCTCAAAAAGTGTCTCCTCTGACCTGCCCTCAATCTGCCTCTGGAGGCTGTGCATTAGAATATTCCATTAGAATAAGAATGATGTTTTTGTGTGTCTCTCAGCTGATGAGCATAACAGAAGGTAGAAACCTTGTTTTCATCCCTGTCTCCCCAGCCAGAGCCTGGCCCATAGAAGCATCTGAGGCAAAGTTGCTGTCTACATGAACACATTTCACTGTCTCTCTTGCACCAGCACAAGTTAGTTAAATGAAAATGAAACGTTAATTTTCAAACAACAACAACAAACTAATCAGGTATCCATCCACTCCTGGATGTTCTTCTTATACAAAGGTCTTACCGTTTAAGATGTACTATGAGGTAATGGAGACTGTTAAAATTTGGTGCTGGCAACTGTCTGAGAAGGTCCTTGCTTTTTAGAAGAATTCGGTTTATTTCAATACACGCACTTGGCCATTTTTTGTCCTCAGGACCATTCTTTTTTGTCTCTTGTTCTTCATTTACATGTTGGAGCTCTTTTGCAAGGTCTATACATTCCTTGTACAATCGAAATAAAATAAATGGCTCTGGAAGCTGAAGAAATAAAATGACATTAGGAACATCATTCTGTCCATTCTCTTCCTGTCACTATCAAAAATCCATTTCTTTGCTGTTGTAAATAGTGCTGCGATGAATGTAGGTATGCATATATCGATTCGTGTCCTGGTTCTCAGTTCCTTAGGATATATACCCGGTAATAGGATTGAGTCAGTTGACTCATTTTTAATAATAACTAAATATTATGGCAGTGATTTCAGATTCACTTTATAGGTCACAACTGTAGCAAAGAAGCGTCCATTTCTAAACATAGATTGGCATGAAATCTTATTAAATCTAAAGGGATATGTTAACCCGTCAGTCAGTAGCTGTCAATTTCCAACAATGTGACAGCTTCCCTTCCACTTCCTTCCACATAGTTACCTCTTCCTTGTGTCCTTTCTTCCCATGCACTCCTGCCTGCCAAGTTGTCTCCCTGTGCATACACCACCTTTCTATTCTCCCCTGATTGATCTCTCCAAGCAGTGTATCTACCCAATGTAAATGTTCAGCTCACATGCCTGTCTTTTGCTTGGCTGGAAGCTACAGGAGTGGGTTCAATCTCAGACCTGAAGGGCAGCAAGGGGCCATAGTGTCAGTGGTTCTATCAGACCAGCAAACGTGGTCCTTTTTTTTTCAATGATTTTGAGTTTTGTTCCACACTGTCCTCTCACTCTATCCAGGATCTCTTACAGAGATCTCTCTCTGAGTGGTTGACAGTGGTCTCTGGGCACCTTCTAATTCTTCTGGTCTCATAGTTGTACAGGCTGAGGATCACATGGTGTACCAGTCACTCGGACTAATTATTTTCATGTGTCTTTGGTTTTCTTCATTCTTCTTTGCTCTGGACAAGGACAGACTCATGGTTGCATCTAGACGGCTGCTTGCAAGCTTTTAATATTCCAGTCACTACCTGCCAAAGTAGGATGCGGAACAATGTTTTGGGTAGTATGTTATGCCAACTGAGCTTGATGTTCCCTGCAACTATGGTCCCAAGCCCTCTGAGTGAGGTCCAACTACTCACTCCCTCTGGGTAACTGTCTGTGGCCAAGAAGTGACTACAATCTTGCCCTTTGTCAGCTGGGAATTCTTACAGAACATACAAATACACTTGTAGAAACATTGTCTGCCAACTCTATATGTGGTCATGGGCACACTCTCCCCCTGCATAGACATAACTAATAGTTCAGCCTGTCCACCCATCTAGCCACTCGTGTATCAGTGTTTGCTTTCACTGACAATGCAGTAATGTATGTGCAAAAGGGTTCATCTTTGTTGTCTGTACCACCCATACACCTCTCTACGTCTTCCTCTTCCTCAATGCCACCATGGTGATCACTCACATTTGGTACATTACCATTCTCTCACCCAAATCAATACTGGTCTCTACGTATCTAACAGTGTTCCCTCCCCTCCCCTCCCACAGCTGGTAACCAATAAAGAAAATTTCCTTCCACAGATAAAACTTTCCTTGACTTTTTACAATAATGGATTAATACAGTATTTGTCCTTCTGGGACTGACTTATTTCATTTGGCATAATGTCTTCCAAGTTCACCCACGTTACACAGTGCTTTGCCGATTCTACGTTATTCTTTAGTGTTGTATAGTATTCCACTGTGTGTATGTACCATATTTGGCCATCCATTCTTCTGTTGATGGACACCTAGGTTGTTTCCATCTTTTGACTACTGTAAATAGTGCTGCAATGAACATGGGTGTGCATTTATCTGTTCTTGTCCTGGCTCTCACTTCTTCAGGATATATACCTAGTCATGAAATTGCTAGGTTAAATGGTTATTTCTAATTCCAACCTTTTAAGGAATTGCCATACTGCTTTCCACAGTGGTTGTATCATTTGACAGTCCCACCAGCAGTGTATGAGAGTTTGAATCTCTCCACATCCTTGCCAGCATTTGTTATTTTCTGTCTTGTTGAACTCTGCTACTAGTGCTGGGGGGAAAGATGGTATTTCACTGTTGTTTTGATCTGCATCTCTCTAACAGCTAATGATCATGAACATTTCTTCATATGTTTGCTGGCTGCCTGAATATCCTCTGTGATGAAGTGTCTATTCATGTCTTCTGCCCATTTTTGAATTGGATTATTTGTCTTTTCGTTGTTGAGGTGTTGGGAGTTTTCTGTAACTTCTAGAGATAAGTCCCTTGTCAGACATGTCAATGCCAAATATTTTTTCTCAATCTGTAGGTTCTCTTTTTACTCTTTTGGAGAAGTCTTTGGAGGCACATACAAATTTAATTTTTGGAAGGTCCCATTCATCTAGTTTAACTACTGCTGCTTGTGCATTTTGGGTTATGCCTGATAGTTGATTTATGCTATTTATTAGGGCGCCTAAATTTGCCCCTCTCTTTCCCTTGAGGAACTCTATAGTTTTAGGTTTCACATTTAAGTCTTTGATCCATCTGGAGTTAGTTTTTGTGTATGTCGAGAGGTACAAATCTTGTTTAATTTTTCTGCAAATGGATATCCAGTTTTGCAAGCACCATTTGTTAAATAGACAATCTCTTTCCCATTTAACGGATTTCGGCCCTTGGTCAAAGATCAGCTGACCATAGGTTGATGGATCTATTTCTGGGTTCTCTATTCTATTCCAATGGTCTATGTGTCTGTTGTCATACCAATACCAGGCAGTTTTGACTACTGTGGCTGTATAATACGTTTTGAGATCCGGGAGCGTGAGACCTTCTACTTTGTTCTTCTTCAATAGTGCTTTGCTTATCTGAGGTCTCTTTCCTTTCCATATAAAGCTTGTTGCTGTTGTTGTTGTTATATGCTGTCGAGTTGGACTCAACTCACAGTGACCCTTCCTTGGGTTTCCAAGGCACTATCACTATGGAAGTAGACTGCGCAACCTTCCTTCAGAGGAGTGGCTGGTGGGTTTGAACTGCCAGCCTTCTGGTTAGCAGTCAGGTGCCTTAGGCACTATATGCTACCAGAGCTCCTCCATATAAAGTTAGTGATTGGTTTTTTCCATATCCTTAAAGAATATTGATGGGATCTGGATTGGGATTGCATTGAATATATAGTTGATTTGGGTAGAATGGACATTTTCACAATGTTCAGTCTTCCTATGCACGAGCATGGGATGTTCTTTCATCCATGTAGATCTCATATGGTTTCTTGGAATAGAGTTTTATAGTTTTCTTTGTACAGGTCTTTTGTGTCCCTGGGAAGATTTATTCCCTAGTATTTTATTTTTTTAGTAGCTATTGTAAATGGTATTGATTTCCTTATTTCTTTTTCAGCAGTCTCTGCTGGTGTGGAGGATGCCTGGATGTCGATCTTGTATCCTGCCACTACGCTAAATCTCACAATAAGTTCCAGCAGATTTTTTTACTGAGTCTCTTGGATTTTCTAGGTATAGGATATCATCAGCAAACAGGGATAATTTTACTTCTTCTTTACCAATATGGATCCCTTTGATTTCCCTTTTTTGCCTTATTCCCCTGGCTAGGACTTCCAATACAATATTGAATAGAAGTGGTGATAGAGGACATCCTTGTCTGGTTCCTGTTCGCAAGGTGTCAGTCTCTCTCCATTGAGAATAATATTGGCTGTTGGTTTTGCATAGATGCCCTTTATTATGTTGAGGAATGTCCCTTCTATTCCTATTTTGTTCAAAGTTTTGACCAGGAATGGGTGTTGGATTTTATCAAATGCTTTTCCTGCATCAATTGATAGAATCATATGGTTCTTTTCCTCTGTTTATTTATGTGGTAGAGATGCTGGTTTTTTTTCTAATGTTGAACAATCCTTGCATACCTGACCTGATATGAACCCCACTTGGTCATAGTGAATTATTTTTTTGACATGTTGTTAAAGTCTATTAGCTAGGATTTTGTGGAAGATTTTTGCATCTATATTCATGAGGGATATTGGTCTATAGTTTTCCTTTTGAGTGATGTCTTTGCCTGGTTTTGGTATCAAGGTTATATTTACTTCATAAAATGAATTTGAGAGGATTCTGATGTTTTGGAATAGTTTGAGTAGGACTGGTGTCAGTTCTTCTCTGAAAGTTTGGTATAATTCTCCAATGAAACCATCTGGGCCAGGACTTTTTTTTGTTGGTTAAGTTTTTTATAACCTGTTTAATTTCTTCTTTTGTTATGGGTCTGTTCAAATTTTCCATGTCAGTCTGTGTTAGTTTAGGCAAGTAGTGTGTTTCTAGAAATCTATCCATTTCTTCCAGATTTTCAAATTTGTTGAAGTACAGTTCCTTCATAGTATCCTGATATTATCCTTTTTTTTTCACTTGGTTCTGTTGTGATGTTGCCCATTTTGTTTCTTATTCATGTAATTTGTGTTCTCTCCCTCTTTTCCTTTGTTAAATTTGCCAGTGGTTTGTCAATTTTATTAATCTTTTCAAACAACCAACTTCTAGTCTTGTTGACGTTTTCTGTTGTTTATTTTCTGTTTCATTGATTTCTGCTTGAATCTTTATTATTTCCTTTCTTCTGGTGACCGTAGGCTTTTCTTGCTGTGCTTTTTCTAATTGTTGGAGATGCTGGTTTAAAGTGTTGATTTTGGCTCTTTCTTCTTTTTTGTTGTGTGCATTTATTGCCTCTGATCACTGCTTTTGCTGTGTCCCAAATACGTTAGTATGTTGGGTTTTCATTCTCATGTGATTCAAGAAATTTTTGAATTTCAATTTTTATTTCTTCTCTTACCCAGTCTTTCTTAAGGAGGGTATTGTTGAGTTTCCATGTGTTTGCTCTTTTTCTGTTGAGCTTCCTATTATTGATTTCTAATTTGATAGCATTATGATGTGAGAAGATCCTTTGCAGTATTTCAATGTTTTTAAATTTATTAAGGCTTGCTTTATGGCCTAACAAATAGTCTATCATGGAGAAGTTTCATGTGCACTGGAAAAGAACGTATATTGTGCTGTTGTTAGATGAAGTGCTCTGTAGATGTCTATAAGGTCAAGTTGGTGGGTTGTGTTGTTTAGTTCTTCTGCATCTTTGTTGAGTTTCTCTC